AGGCTGTAAAATGGGAAGCCTTCAAAATGAGATAACAAGAGTCCAGAGATAGTATGTTCCTGTTAGGGTGAAGGGCAAGGCTGGTAGGTGTAGGGAATGCTGGATGACTAGAGAAATTGAGGTTTTGGTCAAGAATAAGAAGGCAACATATGTCAGATATGGACAGCAGGGATTGAGTGAATCCCTAGAAGAAGGCAGTAAGAGTATACTTAAGAGGCAAATCAGGAGGGCAACAAGGACACATGAGATAGCTGTGGCAAAAAGGGGACATGAGATAGCTGTGGCAAATAGGGTTAAGGAGAATCCAATGGATTCTACAAATACATTAAGGACAAAAGAGTAACTAGGGAAAGAACAGAGCCCCTTAAAGATTAGCAAGGCTACCTACGTGTGGAACTGCAGGAGGTGGTGGAGATACTAAACAAGTATTTTGCATCAGTGTTTACTAAGGAGAAGCAAATGGAAGCTAGAGAACATAGGGAAATAAATAGTGATATCTTGAAAAATGTCCATATTACAGAGGTGGTGGTGCTGGACGTCTTAAAACACATAAAGGTGGATAAATCCCTGGGACCTGAAAAGGTGAACCCTAGAACTCTGTGGGAAGCTAGTGAAGTGATTGCTGGGCCCACTGCTGAGGTATTTGTATCATGGATAGCCACAGGTGAGGTGCTGGAACACTAGAGATTGGCTAACGTGGTGCCATTATTTAAGAAAGGTGGTAAGGAAAAGCCAGGGAACTATAGAGTGGTGAGCCTGATATCAGTGGTGGGCAAGTTGTTGGAGGGAATCCTGAGGGACAGGATTTACATGTATTTGGAAAGGCAAGGACTGATTAGGGATAGTCAACAGGAATTTTTGTGTGGGAAGTCATGTCTCACTAACTTGACTGAGTTTTTGAAGAAGTAACAAAGAAGAATGATGAGGGCAGAGCAGTGGATGGGATTGATGTGAATTTCAGTAATGCGTTCGACAAGGCTCTTCATGGTATACTGGTCAGCAAGGTTAGATCACATGAAATACAGGGAGAACTAGCCATTTGGATACAGAGCTGGCTTAAAAGGTAGGTGACAGATAGCGATGGTGGAGGGTTGCTTTTCAGACTGGAGGCCTGTGACCAGTGGTGTGCCACAAGGATCGGTGCTGGGTCTATTGTTTTTTGTCATTTATAGAAATGATTTGGACGTGAACATAGGAGGTATGGTTAGTAAAGTTTGCATATAACACCAAAACTGGAAGTATAGCGGACAGCCAAGAAGGTTATCTCAGAGTACAATGGGATTTTGATCAAATGGGCCAATGGGCTGAGGAGTGAGAGATGGAGTTTAATTTAGATAAATGTGAGGTGCTGCATTTTGGAAAGGCAAATCAGGGCAGAACTTATAAAGTTAAAGGTAAGTTCTTAGGGAGTGTTGCTGAACAAAGAGACCTTGGAGTGCAGGTTCATAGTTCCTTGAAAGTGGAGTTGCAGGTAAATAGGATAGTGAAGAAGGTGTTTGGTATGCTTGCCTTTATTGGTTAGTGCATTGAGTATAGGAGTTGGCAACTCATGTTGCGGCTGCACAGGACATTGGTTAGGCCACTTCTGAAATATTGCATTCAATTCCAGTCTCCCTGCTATAGGAAGAATGTTGTGAAACTTGAAAGAGTTCAGAAAAGATTTACAAGAATGTTGCCAGGTTTGGAGGATTTGAGCTATATGGAGAGGCTGATTAGGCTGGGGCTATTTTCCCTGAGCGTCAGAGGCTGAAGGATGACCTTATAGAAGTTTATAAAATCACAAGGGGCATGGATAGGGTGAATAGACAAGGTCTTTTGAGCAGGGTGGAGGAGACCAAAACGAGAGGGCATACGTTTAAGGTGAGAGGGGAAAGATTTAAAAGTGACCTAAGGGGTAACCATTTTCATGTTGAGGGTGGTGCGTATATGGAATGAGTTGCCAGAGGAAGTGGTGGAAGCTACTGCATTTAAAAAGCATCTGAATGGGTATATGAATAGGAGCCAAATGCTGGCAAATGGGACTAGATTAATTTAAGATATCTGGTCGGCATGGAGGAGTTGGGTCAAAGGGTCTGTTTCCATGCTGTACAACTCTATGACTATGATAATATGTTTGAATGTCTTCTACCTTTTTTACTGTAAAAAGAATTGAATCTGAAGATTCAGGCAACTTTGTAGGTGACCCCTAGCTCTATATGCAAGCATTTTTATTTGCTTTTAATTGAGATACATTTCTTAACATGCCCAGGTAATTAACAGAAAATACTTTACACTGATTATTTTGTCTACAGGTTGTATGCTGTGCCTGTAAAAGAACTTCTCTTTCGAAACCTGGTGAATAATGCTGCATTAGGTTATATCTTTGACTTCAAGTACCAAACAAATCAAACAGTCCAAAAAACTGCAGTAGTGTGTGTTTACGATTATTAAGCTTTGTCAGCTCTTTAGCAAATAATAAATAATTCACAATTTCGCTAATAATATTTGTAGTTGTGTTACATAGAGGTGCTTTCCTTCAATAACTATGGAAGTTATTTGGTTTGACTTACTAATTTGAAAAAACACAACTGGGTGAATATCTTTGAAGCAGTAACCAGGGATGTACGTGCTTTCAATAATTGTATGTTGAACAAAAATGGAGCTACTAATCAAACTCATAAGATGCTTTCATTCAAATAGAGTTAATAGGTTCATCCTTTGAACAAATTGTAGACAAACTGATTATTTGTTGAAAACAACTATAGCATTAGGTCAGAATATGACACTATTTGTAACCCTTTATGTACTTCAGCAGCATTTAAAAAGTCAATATCGGATTTAAAATTATTTCATTTTTGTCATAGATTCTCTTCAAACACAACAGCCATGAAGGAGCATTTTTTTGCTGACACATACTTTCAACTCATAAATGTCAGTATAACTTTTCAGCAGGTTGTGCAGGTTTCCTCAGGACACAATTTAGAGGATTCTCAACATCCACTTAAGTTGATCTCTCTGATGGAAGATCTGGACATTGCTCGCAGTGTTGTGTCATCTCCTTCGGATTATTTTTTACCAAAGGGATGGAACAGCTGAAAAAGCATTTTTGATGTTTACAAATAATTTCTTTCCAGGCAGCAAATGCAAGTGGGAATTATAACGATACAATGGGCTGGATTTTCAATGACTTGTGAGGACGAGGCTGGAGGTGGACGATTGAGAGGGTGGAAAACAGGAAGGAGATAACATCGATCCAGCTGCACAACACATTCTCACCACTGCATGATTAAGGAAGATTAGGATTTTCAGTGAGAATCATTACCCAGTTAATGAAGGTGCTGAAAAGACACCTGTCGCCAGAGTCACCAACTTGGTGGTGGCGCGGTGATGCGTTGGGGGCGTAGGAGGAGAAACAAGGAAAAGGGGAGACGTAAGGGAAAATTGTATAGAAAGGGTGGGATTGGGAGGTTTTGTAGAAGAACGGCCCCACCTTGCATAACGCCAATTTGATTGACCCTGGATGGAACGCATAGCCATCACAACTCCAGATTTCAAGACTCCGCCCACGCCCCTACCTGGGTGAGGCTTGAGCGCTGCTGCTGCCACCCTCCCAGCCACCTGCCAAGAGGAGATACCTTGTGGGCGGAGTATGCTGGGCAGGGTTGACGTTGCTCCAATGTTCCTGTATGGAGCTGTGCTCTCATATGTGCACAGAATTAGAATAAAAACAGGGAGTAGAAATCCAGGACAAAAGCAGAAATTGCTGGTGAAACTCAGCAGTTTTGGCAGCATCTGTGGGGAGAAAGCAGAGTTAACATTTCGAGTCCAGTGACTCTTCATTAGAACTGATAGCAGGTAAGAAAAAGGTAGTATTTATGTTGGAGACAAGGTTGGGGAAGAGGAGGGAAAGAGGTTAGCAGATAGGCAGAAACAGACCCCAGAGAGAGAGTGATATGAAAACAGTAGGCAAATGAGAGGATGATTGACAGTAGATCAGGACCAAACAGAAGCTGAATAAATGATATTGAGAGCTGTATGTAGGAGAGAATTGGTAGGATGTATTGAAAATAACCCATGTGATGTAAATAATCAGTTCTGAAGAAAGGTCAAAGGACCCACAACTCTGCTTTCTCTCCACAGACACTGCCAAACCTGCTGCGTTTTTCCAGCAATTTCTGTTTTGGTCCATGTAATGTGATAATTGGACTAAGAGTGGGCCAGAATGGGTTAGCTGCTATAAGTAACCCATGTCATGACAAACCGGATGTGGGAGTGGGTTAAAAAAAAATGGAAGGATGGAATTAGTCTCTAAAGTTTTTGAACTCCATGTGGAGTCCTCGAGGCTGCAGGGTACCCAAGCGGAAAATGAGATGATGTTCTTCCAGCTTTTGCTGAGGCTGAGGTTTACTTCAGATCTCCAGCATCTGCAGTTCTTTGTTTTATTTTGGTAGAAACGCAGGATAAGTGTCCTGGTAAATCTTGGAGAGGCCTGATCCAGAATGTTTATGTCCAGGACGATGGTCACTTTGCCAGGCATCTCTGTAAAGCGTTTACAAAATGTGGCCACATCGCAGTGGCTGAGCAGAGAGGCATCGTCAAATTGGGAAGCCTTCACTGCATCAATCTCACCTCTTCTCTTTACCTGATCTGATGGCAGCAAATAAAAGCAGAAAATCCCTTGCTGCCCCCTTCATGTGTCGGCAGCACCCACCGCTGACAGCAGGCTGCTATCTAAAGATTTATGGAAGTCTCCTATTGTAATCAGCCCTCCAGCTTCTGGGAGGAGGCTACCTGTCCTTCTTAACCACACAAGCTGCCTCCTTCAAAATCACCTTCTGGGTCCTCCTGTCAATGTTCGTGAGTTCCTGACTTGTAGTTCATCTCAACAATGGAATTGCATCGTAGAATGAAAATTGAGCCCATTGTGGTAGAAACAGATTAGTCTATTGAATCATTTCATTAATGCTGGAAAAATTGATCTATTCACAATCATGTTGATAATATGGCAAATAAAACTACTCATTTTACTCAGATTATTGCACGTACTTTCCATGAGGAACAGTATGCTTTTAATTCATGGATCAAATTTTTAAAAAATACAGAGGAAATCATTTGATAAATACTTACTTTCATACATGTTTATACACATTTTTATGGTGACAGCATTAACATCCCACTCTTACATGCTGAGAACTATATCAATATTTTTAACCTAATCATAACTTATTCAAAAGATCAGGCATACATATGAAAATAATTGCAAACATTTGTTATGAAACCTGTCAGAATACTACAAAGCTGCAGATTCTCTGTTTTGACTTATATTGGTGGGGTGTTACACTGTCGTATTTCCTGGTCTTCTAAATTTTGTATGGAGAAGCACACAAAAGTCTTATTTGCAAAGTTTTAAGGAACATATTTAAAAGACAGCAAACAGAGGTAGCAAAGATTGCCATGTGCTTATGGGAAAAAGTGAATCTGGAGTATTATTCTATCAGTTTGTTGCCACTTTAATCTGTTTCATGCACTCAGAAATGACAAAATTAGAGATTAGAGGGGATCTCCCAATTTTCAGATTATCAAGTACAATTTATATTAGAGTTTGATTTGAGGCTTAGTCAAGTTTCCATTGCAAATCACTGCAAAGTCAGTGATGTTGAATCCAGTATATTTCCTGAGAGGCTTCTTTAATCTGAAGAATAATTGGCAGTGACATCTGCACTCAATAATAGGCTCAGTCTAAAAATTACTCCAAAAGGAGGCTGCAGTCCCAACTGATTGACTTATTTTCAGCTGCTAAGAATGTGGCAACTGGCTCCTCTTTGACCATTACGTTTAATACCAAATCATAAGAATCACAAAAATACTGATATCAAGGAACTGATTGGTGATATATTGAGCCTTTACTTGGTTAACAATTGCTACAGTGTGCATTTTGATAAAACACAAAATCCCACATTTTCATTATCACAGAAAATCATGGCTCTTACAACCTTCAGAACAATTATTAGAACTTTAGCATTATTTGCATTTTTGACGTACTAAAGTTGAATACAGCTGCTTGGGCGATGAGTAAACCCAGTCATTCTGATCAAATATCCAAATAGAATTTAAGCTCATCTGCAACATTGGTAATTATAAATATTCAGAATAGTTTGCAAGGCAATGTACATACTAAGGATTCTGATCATGCTATGAACATAAATTCTTCGCCAAGAAAGCAGTGTAGGATCAAGACACTAACAGCTCTCTTGTACAACACTGAATTAGTAATTGTTCTAGTACACCACCAAAAGTAATCCTGTTCACCTTTGAACAGGTGTAAAGCTCTTTCAATGATGATCAGAATAGGGCACAGTTGTCACTTTTTCCTGCTGTTTAACTTGGGAGCAACAAAGCTATTCCTAAATGTTATCATCACTGCCATTCAGCCAATTCAGGTTATGACAACACAAAAGTCAATCCTGGGACTTCCTTTAGTTATAATACCCTCAACAGCCAATGCATGAACACACAGATATTACTGAAAACCCATGGTTGCAATTTTGTTGATACTGGTACAGTTGACTTATTTTTATTAAAATGCAACTTTGAAAATCATACATTTCACTATCTGTGAAGAATATTTTGATGTAGTTAAGAAATCTGAACATAGGTTAGTACTTTCAATATTTTACTGTTTTACACATTTCCTATGAATTAGCTCACACTTACACTCTGGTCACAGTTTTTACGGAGTTGGCCTGAGTTGCACAGCTCCTTATATCTGCTCCTTTTTCAGCTGATGAAAGACAATGTGGCATAGAAAAAAATATGTATAGTAGGTATAATTAGTACTCCCGAGTACCCTAGTAAAAAGACAAAAAAACTCTATTCCTGCTTTACCCCATGGGAACGCAATGTTGCTACAGAAGAGCTAGTGGATCGTCAAATATGTCATTGCAAATTAGACTTTGTAGGTGCTATTTGCATACAAAATTTATGTTACTAAACAATTAATTACAAATTTAGAATTCATTATATTAACTAAAACCAAGAATAACTCAAAAATAGTTGAAAAACCCCAAGACAAAGAATCTTAGGTTTTTGATGCACAACAAGACAAACCAATTATATAATTTACAAGATTAATCTGTCCTCTCCTCCTTCCTGTATCACCTGACCAACAGAATTCTGGTTCTGCTGTCTTTGAAAGCACTGTTTCTTGCATTCCATCAGTTGCTCAAAATCTCGCCACATTTTAACCTGCTTCATGTTTGGCCCATGGCTCTCCCGCACAGCTTTCTGCTTCTCACGTAGTTTCTACAGGGAAAAAGAAAATAATATTTGTAAGGTTATTGCAAATGTTTACAGTGCACAAACAAACTACTATGAAATACAAGAAGTGCTCAACAATTTCTCACATGTGTTTATGCCCCTAAAGTATTGCACACAAGTGAGATCAATAAATTGAAACACTGCTTTGATACAGCCTTTGCCCATCTGAGGAACAGAATGGTTGATGACAAAAATCATAAATCTGACACTAAGATCAAGCTTATGGTCTGCTGGGCAGCGATGCTACCAGTCCTTCTGTACATGTTAGAGACATGGACAACATATAGCAGATAATTCAAACCCTTGAGAAATATTGCTGACAATGCTTGTACAAAATCCTGCAAATCCACTGGTAGGACAGCTGCCCCAACATCAGTGTCCTCCCTCACACCAAAATCCCCCGAGTCAAGGTATTTGTTACAGACTGTTAGCTACAATGGGTGGGCCACACTGTCTCAATGCCCGACCCAAGGCTTCCAAAACAAGCTGTTTACTTGGGAGTTTACCTGCAGCAATAGTGATACTTTTTCTCTGGTGAGCGAGGCTACTTGATTTCAGCTTTAAAAAAACCCACTAACTTATTAGCTCATCCAAGCTATTTTGTGAGACCCATTGAATCTTTGAGCAGAACTACATGATGGATGCTGTAAGGCATTTCAAAATATTGCTGGTCTCAAAGGAGGTTCAGTAAATAATGTTGCTCATTGGCAAATAGGGTAATCATTAAAAACAAGAATTCTATGTTTATTGTTTCTCTGCTTCCACATTGCCATTGGCACATTTTAAGAAATGTTTAATGCCACTGCTGCTGTTGAATTGCTTCCTCATTCAGCTGAGAGAGTGAAACCAATGTACTGTGATGTCACACAGCTATTGACAATAACAGCACTGAGTCACAGTGATAAATGATTAATCCCATTTAGATGGTCACAGCATAGATTTTTGCTTGCTGGGATCGCTATATGGAGTATTAATTCTGAAAGATTTACTGATGTACTAAACAAACCCAAAATTTCACAATGATGACTTTGGGGATACCCCTGTTTGAATACTAGTGTTCCAGAATTCTTTTTTTTGAAAAAAACATCATTACACTTTGAAAAACTCAAATTGATTCTGTTTCCTCTATGTGCCTCCTTGTTTTCCTCTTGATAAAACCACAAACTGGCAAGGATTCTTTTAAACTGTTGCGTGGTCACTTAATAGGTAACAAGATATTAATTTGTAGTAATCACGAGCATAATGATGTGTTTTGCACATTCTACTTATTATTTGTCTGGTACATCATAAATTGCTGTTATATCTGTCACTAAATGACTGTTTTATTTAGTTTTCTGGACAACATCCTGCAATTTAATTCAGGCATTCTGAATTAATTCATATCCTACATTCATCTTCCCATCAACTTCCCTATGCTGAAAATAGATAAATATAGTTAGTACGTTGCACAATTTTACTACTGATTGATCAATCTGGGGCTAGATGGCAAGCTTTAATTGGTTGAAAGACATTTTTATTAGTACCCATTCATCTATGCAGTAGTTAGCTCCTGTAATTAAATCTCACCACATTCAGCACATAACTTTGTTGGTCCTGGTTATCACAAGGATTCAGATGTGCTAGATTTTGCATTATGGTTTTTAATTTTACATTTTTTTTCTGAGTGGAAACCTTTCAGTCTCTAAACAAGTAATATACTAAAGTGACTTGTTACCATATTAGTTCATAGCACAAGATTATGCATACTAGAACTGCCTCAGTTTAAGTGTGCCAATGAAATATTGTCTACATTAAGTACTGGACATTACTTTCAGAACCAGTTCCTTCAGGAATAAATAAGATTTGAAATGAAAACATGGTTGTTCTAAATGATTTACCCAAAATCTGATACATTGCTCAAAACAGGAAATTGTCCAAAAGCAATTTCCTCTGAAGAGGGTTAAACATCATAAGGCAATATTTAAGTTTATATTTCATGCACATATACCTATGACACTGGTGAAACAATTAATAAAGTTAATACCTTTCTATTTTAAGGCAAATTATTCAAGTTTAAATAACATACATGTAACCACCTACCTCTGTGCACCTGTCTCCACTTTTTTGCAACACAATTTTTGGCAGAATAATATTTTAAATTTGACTTAACCACCATTTACATGATATTGCCTTTATGGAAAAATGCACAGGAAAGCTACCACGTTGTCACAAAACTAAAAACTGTTCACTAATGCTCTGCAAGGAAGAAAACCTGTCATCCATTCTATCAGGCTTCCAGTGTCTCAAGTCCACATTACGTGACTGCTGTTAATAACCTGTGAAGTGGTCTATCAAGCCACTCACTTAGTAAAACAAATTGCTTTAAAGTACAAAGCACTCTCCAATCAAGCTGTTCCAGCTCGCTTACAAGACGAGCATTTACCCGATAGGAAATTTGTCTTCACTTTCTCTCCTGCCACAACACTTGAACTAATCAAAGACACAAAGAAAAATACTCCTTACTGTGAATAAGGCACATTTTCTTTCTTTTCCATTCTGACTTGTCAATAACTACTGAAACAGTGCATCACACCATTCGTCTCCATCTCTCCTTCGTTGAGTAGTTGAACAGTACTGGCTTTGCTCTATTCTACTCTTATCTATCTGGAGAATCTGCTGCAATAGCCTTAGCTTGCACATCTGCATTACCACCTTTGGAGCTCTCCACATGATTTGGCCTCCTGTTTCTCATCTATATGCTGCCCTTTGGTGACATCACCCAGCTCTATCCCATCATCTTCTCTCTCAGATTTGCTATTCCTGTGCTGTCTGATGTCCCATTCTAGACAAGTTGGTAATGTTAGTGTGTAATGCAAGGATAATTTAAGGAGGTTGTATTATAACAAAGTCAAATTGGATAACAAAATCGGAAGGAAATTGGTGTAATTCGGATGTGAGATGAGATGAGTATGAGATTTGTGGGCAGCTAAGATAAATATGTGGGAACAACTGGGCAATTTTAATCTTAACAGAACAGTTAGAAGAAAGATAACAAAAAATAGAAATTGCTGTAGAAACTTGGCAGGTCTGGAACATCTGTGGAGAGAAAGCAGAGTTAATGTTTCAGGACCAGTGAATCTCCAGAACAGAGCTCTTTCCACAGTTGCTGCCAGACCTGCTGAGTTCCTCCAGCAATTTTGGTTTTTGTTCCAGATGTTCTTTGTTTTATTTTAGAATAAAGATAATATGTTTAAAGGATAGTGAGCATTCAGGACTGGTTTTAAGATTCATGTTTCTAATTCAAAAAACATTGTTTAATTTGATCTGAGAAATGAAATGACACAAATAATTGATGTTAAAATAAAATTAAAATGTTAAATTTAACAACTGTACATTAAATTCAAGAAAGGATAGGAAAAGATAATAGTGTTATTAGGAGTAAAACACATTTGTATTAGAGGTAGATATGGAATAATAGTTACCGCTAAAAGTAGAAAAATATTTTTGAGAATAAAAAAAAAACTGAAGATGCTTAAATCACTAGACCCTGATGACATGCTTTCGCAGGCTTCTGAAAGAAATCTGAGAGGGGATAACAAGCTGTCATCGCAATTTTCCAATTCTTCTTACAAATGCAAATTGTGCTACTAGACTAAAAAAATTGTAATGTAACAACTTGTTCAAAAAGGGAGAGAAGAACAAATTTACCAACTATAAACCAGTTATCCTAATGTTAAGTAGTTTAAGATAAATTTAATGCATGAGTCAATCAATGCCAGCATAGATTTTTTAAATATTAGTTGAATTTGACAAATATACTTACTTTGAAGTAACCAATTGCAAAGGTAAATAATAGTAGATATGGCTTCTAAGGTGAATATTTCATGTGCAGTTTCTCAGAAAAGTTTCAGCATATGGTATATGAAGTAGTGTACACAGACTATTGCTTGCCAAACCGTTAACTGTTAAGGAAAATTAGGTGTTATTTGGCCTGTGACAATGCAGGGGGTTCAGAGATAGCACAATTTTATTTTCCTTCATTATACTTGTACAATTTGGACCAAGGAACACAGTCTTAGAATCTGCTAATGATAACAGAGTCACCAGATTGGGAATCTATAGCTACAAGAACAGACCTGAGATACTGGGATTATTTCACTTGACCAAAGAATGCTTAAAGGTGATTTAATAAATGTTTAAATAATTATGAAAAATTTGAAGACAGAATAAATAGAAAAAGTCTATTTTCTCCATTTATGGAGGAGCTGGCAGGTTCCTTACATCACAAATACCACTGAAAAAGGATAGAGTTTATTAAATAAATTTCTTTGCTCAGAGGATCTTGGAAAATAGAATGTTTTGCTACTGGGAATGGCTGAGACAAAGACCATTGACACATCTAAGAGAAAAGTAAATCGTTACTTGAAGAAGAGGAAGATACAAGGCCTTGGAGTCAGCACAGGGCAATAAGCAGATGTGACAGGCTGAGTCATACCTTATGCCCTTTGTGCTTCTTCCTAAATTGGTCCACTGATTCCAGATTTTACAAGCTGCTTTCATCTTTCTGTAAGATATTGTTTGAAACATTTATGGCAAAAGAATCATTGCTAGTGATTCGCTTTAAATGATCTATTAAAATATTCTGAAATTATTTACTGGAATTATTCAAAAGGTTTTATAATTTCCTCAGCTTTTAGCATGACCTTCTTCAATTTAAGGCCTAGTGTTGGAATATTTTCAAGTATCCAAATCATTATGTCCTATTTGTTCCTAAGTGGAGCTTCTGATCTCATATCCCCTCCATCACCAAATGCTTAATTCCACCTGTGTAACATTCCCATCTTTGTACTTAGCTCAGCTCAACTGCTGCTGAAACCCACATTCAAGATTTTGTGTTCCTATAATTCTGGACCCTTGCATTTCCCCGATTTTCCTCACTGAATCAAATCACTATGCCTTCTATTGTGAGGGCCCTAAGATCTGGAATTCTGTCCCTAAACTTCTCT